ATTCAAAATATGTACAAAGGTGTTAAATCTATGGTGAAAATAAATGGCATGTCCACAGAATTTTTTAGTTGTAATGTAGGAGGAAGGCAGGGAGAAAATCTTTCACCTTTTTTATTTTCAATGTATATTAATGATCTTGAAGATTTTTTACTGAACAAGAATATTGCAGGCTTACAAAGTATTTCAAGAACCATTGAGAACGAATTACTGATGTATTTTAAATTGTTGATTCTCTTTTATGCGGATGACACTGTTATTATGGCTGAATCAGCCGATGAATTACAACATGCAATCAATAAATTTCAGACATATTGTTTAGAATGGAAGTTGAAAGTGAATGTCGAAAAAACGAAGATTCTAGTATTTTCAAAGGGTCCTATGTTAAAAAGAAAATTTTATTACGACAACTTAGTTATTGAAAATGTTAGAGAGTTTAAATATCTAGGCGTTGTTTTTTCACGCACAGGTTCCTTTTGTAAAACAAAAAAAAAAAACACTTATATGAACAAGCACAAAAAGCGATGTATGGCATTATAAGAAAAATTAGACAATTCCAATTACCAGTAGACTGTTAATTTGACCTTTTTGATAGAGTTGTAGTTCCGGTTTTACTATATGGCTCTGAAATATGGGGCTATGAAAATCTTGATATTATTGAGCGTTTGCACTTGAAGTTTATAAAGTATGTATTTAATTTGAACAGTTCCAAGCCATCGTACATGGTCTATGGTGAAACAGGTCGCTTTCCTCTGTATATTTCGGTATATTGTAGAATGATTTCATATTGGGCAAAGCTTTTTTCAGGCCCGCCAAATAAAATTGTAAATGTTTTATACAAACATATGTTTAAACTGTTCTGTGATGGAAACTTAACAAACCCATGGTTAGATTGTATACAGAAAATATGTAATATGTGTGGTTTATCAAATGTATGGTACGAACAGGGTGTCAATATGAATTATAAATGGATAACTGCTACTGTAAAACAAATATTACAAGATCAATTTATTCAAAAGTGGTCTAGTGACGTTAATAATTCTTCAAAAGGACAGATTTACAGAATCTTTAAACAAAACTTTGGATCTGAACATTATATTGATAAGTTATCTCCTAAATTTAGAAAAATATTTATAAAATTTCGAACTGCAAATCATCATTTGCCAGTAGAGACTGGAAGATGGTATGGTATACCACTGTGTGATGGAAACTGTACACTTTTTAATAATAATCAAACTGATGATGAATTTCATTATATCTTAGAATGTAAAACTTTAGCTGATGTAAGAAAAAATTACCTGGGCAATTATTATTCCCACAGACCTAATTTTATTAAATTCATGGAACTAATGTCAACCAAAAACGAAAAAATGCTGAAAAAACTATGTATGTTTATTTTAAAAATTTATGATGCTGTCTGTCCTCCTTGATATATTTTCCCCTCTCTTATTTATTTATTTCCTTTTTCAATCATATGTCATGTTTTTTGTACCTCTGACCAGATTGTATATAATGTATATATGTTGTTAATGAACCCCGTACCAACATTTTGGTTTGGGTGAATAAATTGAACTTGAACTTGAACTCAATACATTGCATTGTAATGCTTGATGCACTAATTAAAACTTGCTTGGTCAATTTTTATTATTAGGCAAAACAGTGAAAAAATATGAAGTTTCCTGTTTGACACTGATGAGTGAATATTCTGAGACTCAAACAAAGCGCCGATGACTTTGTAGAACAATCAAAGACGCTTTTCAATACCGCTTAGCAGTGCTTGTCTAGTGAGATAAGCTCACACTAAGTGCTTTACACGCGACATATACTCGTAACCGTTATTTACTCTGACTTTAACACATGGTCATTTGTGGATGTCTCTCTAACGTCTTATATATAGTTTACAAGCCTGGTACTCGTTAGCATTGCTTAAACATTTACATAATATAAAGCAGAAATCAATGATCGTTTTGTCTACGTTGTTCAAAGGGACATCATTTGAGTTATCGAACTTTAAAACAAAACTTACATTATGCAAATTTCCAAATAAACATTCAATCACAAGGACAAATTGTATATAAAAGCTGTCTTTGGAGGGTGGATGGTGGGGAATATTTCTAATACATTGACAAGTATAATAATTGTGCTTGTTTAAATTCAAGTACAATTGCACCATACTGCCCTCTGTTGCAATACAATGCAATACATTGTGATGCCTGCCAAATTGTCTAATCAAAGTTAACTTAGTCATTTTTTTTCTTAATTGAATTTAAAAACTGATTGAATGCACACACTTTTTTTCAATCTATGCTTTAAAAAAAAGGTTTCAAAAACAGACTAGAGAGCATTTTTTTTATTCTCATATTCTTAAATATTTGTTTTCTTTGATATGAATCAAAATTAACAATCAGTAATTAAGTCGAAGGACTTTCATAAAGTAACGTGTCGCTGATTTATTTTTTTATCGAATGACTAGTTTGGGTATGTGCAAAAGATCCAAAAGAAATGAACATTCCTTTTGGAGTGATGAATGGATTGTTTTGTTTGCAATAGAATTTATACTGTTTACCATAATAAGAATTTAACTGCATTTTATTGCGCTGCACTATAATGCAATGTCAATCAATAAAATGAAGTCCATTTTTTGTTTTACATTATGGTATTGAAAATAAGGTGTAAATTATCATATATTCTTTTATTTTTTTAAAAAGTTTTGAAAAACAAACTGGATGGAATATTTTCACTCACATTTTCTTATATGATTATTCTCTTTCATATGAATCTAAATTAACAATGCAGTAATCATATCGAAGGATTTTTCGACAATTTTTTTCATTGCTGTTTATTATTTTATGCAACGCCTAGTTTGGGTATATGAAAGATTGAAAAAGAGAGAAATCTCATGTTTGACTGATGAATGTAAATTTTGAGAGTGATGCAGATAAGCACCAGGAAGGATAAACAGAATATATTCTAATAACAGTAATTAGAGCTAATTTCTCATCAAAGAACAGTTACTTTTGCTGATCTTTTTTATTGAAAGACTGATATGGATATATGCGAAACATCCCGAGGAAAATTGGAGTGTCGAGTGAAGTTCTTTAATTGCAAGCTAATTAATTTTTCTTTTAAATAAAAATATAACTGTCCTACAATACATTGCATTGTAATGCTTGATGCACTAATTAAAACTTGCTTGGTCAATTTTTATCATTAGGCAAAACAGTGAAAAAATATGAAGTTTCCTGTTTGACTGATGAGTGAATATTCTGAGACTCAAACAAAGCGCCGATGACTTTGTAGATCAAAGACGCTTTTCAATACCGCTTAGCAGTGCTTGTTTAGTGAGATAAGCTCACACTAAGTGCTTTACACGCGACATTACCCGTTAAGCTCTAATTTTCGCCGTAAATTATCACTAAAGCGAAGATTAATTAAGCGGATTATGATTTTTTAAATCCCACTCATTTCTGTTTAAAAGCTTAAAAATCTTTCAGAAAATTCTGGAAACACAATTTTATAGGACATGTTTTAAAAGAAACAGAATATAGCAATTTCCTGTTTACTGCCAATTTAATTTATAAAACTGGTTCTACCCTATAACCTTAGAATGGGTCAACCTTCACTTCGTGTCTTGAATTTAAATCACAATAACATTAGTTGGGGTGATCTTGATGACAAGAAATTTTTATCAAATCGATGAATCAATTTTTATGTATCAATGTACCTAAATTTCTATTTTTTCATATTTATTTATTTATTTGGTTTTCTGAAATAAAAACGATCGGGCCCTCTTTTAGCTTCGAATATCTTGTGCTTTCCTTGGATGCTTATAATTGTGAAAGTACTTTTTGAAAATGCTAAATTTGTTTGCGGCCGATTTGATTCTGCGTTGTCATCAAATCTTTGTATTACCTGCTCTCTTTGAGCCTGTTATGTACAGTGTTTTCACTGAATCTGGCATTGCGGCATCCAGGAATGTTAGCAGCAATAGGCTCAAAGAGAGCAGGCTGGACTGGTGTCGCAGACATGGTCTTAATCGGTTCACAATGCTACGATGGAGGACCATTTTATTCAGTGATGAATCGAGGTTTACAGTTATTTGGGTAGACGGGTGGAAAAGAGTATATCGACGTAGAGACAAGCGGTACTCTAAAGCTTGCAAAATGGATCATGAGAGGCACAGTTTGCATATGGGCACAAAACACAATTGGTAGTTATTAACGAATCTCTAACAGCATTACAATGATACTGTGACACAATTTTATAGCCACATATTTTCCGTTTGTGAGCCAAGATAATCTGATGATTCAGCAGCATCATGCATTGCCGCACGTTGCTAGAGTTATTTCATTGAGATAAACAGTGTATGGACACTAGAGTGATACCGAGATTGCCCTGACTTGTCTCCAATTGAGGATTTATGGAACGAGATGGACCGACAAATTCAGGTTCGAAATTCGATTCCAGACACCCCCAATGAGCTGAGGCAACAACTTACAGAAAAGTGGAATAACATATCCCTATAGGAAGGATCAGCTACCTGATCAATTCCATGTACAAGAGAATACAAACGGAAGTAAAAGCGAGAGGACACACGTGATATTGACCTTAGAAATTTTGAATTTTGAAATTCAGACCCCTACTCCCTTTAGTCAATAACTGTGATGTTGAAATACCATTTGATTCGATGTCATATGTGTCTTGATATATGAAGATGATGAGTTAGATATTACAATGTCATATAATTGCATTTGGCTATCATTGTGTTACACATACAAAAATGGTAACCTTTTACATTTCAGTATGCGTTTCTTTTTCTTTTCAGTATAAATTATTCTAACTCATTTGTCAATATCCTTTATAAAATCTAACCGATTCTATCTTGTCCCCATAGATATTCTTTTCACTTTGAAATGCTATTGACAATCTTTAAGGTATTTTGGATATATTTTGTGGACAAGGACAGAAATGGACACATAGCTGCAAAAAAGCTTAGGTTATACCTGGATATTTGTAACAGGGATATTGAAGGTGATAATGGCCTCCCATCCAATCAAATCTCCATGTGTGATGGGTAGAATGAAATGTCCCTCGAAATTACCACTCCAGGCATGGGTCTTCGTCATTGGAACTGTCGCCGAGTTGTCAGCGAGACATGGGGTAAAGAGTAGGAGAATGACGTAGGGTAACTCCATCTTAAAACTGAGGACGACATACACTGCAGTTAATATTTTGGTACACATTCTTATTGAATAAATTATTAATTCAACTTTAGTTTTGCATGTCCAATGCCTTGCAGTACTAAAAGCTATAAACGGTGTTACTACATGTAAGCATATGTATGATAAAAATAATGTGTATGTAGTATTTTTTTTTATTTACAAAGAATACGAACGCTAACTCTCGATTCCCGTCTACATTTTAAACCGATTTAATTCAATATAAATAGCAATTTAGCCATTAAAACTTACTTGAATGCAAAGAAGAGTTCATTAGTAATTGATCAATAATTTTAAAAACAGTGTCAAAAAGTTCATTGCTCTTATTTACAAGTCTTTTCATAAGGGGGGTAGAAAAAATTTTCCATTGAAAATCGGGCCTTTCAACATCACCAGATTTTCAAATACTCATGCAAATGGATAAATGACCCTTAAATCTTTCCGTATGTTTAACTTATGTAAAATTCAATATATATGGTTAATAAAGTGCATTTTTTTAAATTTGTAATCTCATTTGAAATTGGTAAAAGAATCAACAAAAGCTTTGGTATGAATTTGTGAAATAACTATTTATAATACCTGTAAAAAGGAATTTTAGTTTCATGGGGGGATGTTTTAAAGATAATTTACGTTGAATTCTATTGTGAAAAAGTCAGAAAAACACAAGTTTTACCAAAATTATAGTTATCTCTCTTTGTTTTCCAAAATAAGTTATGTTATTGAAAATTTACATAAATATGAAAAATCATTCAAATATGTGAACTTTTGAAAATGCTTTTTCTCTGAGCCTCTGTCCATCTTGGGTTATGGTCAATAAAAGAAGTGATTATTGACCATAACCCAAAATGGACAGACGCTCAGAGAAGAAGCCTTTATGAGCAATATCAAGAGAAGAGTTTTTACTTACTTTGATTATCAAAGACCTAGATATTGTGAGAGTAACGTCAAATCTCTATATGTCGTTCAGTCTTATCAGTTGTGAACTGTAAACTCACATGTTACTAAGTACAGCGGTACTAACGAGACAGAATCTGCACTTACTTTTAACCTAAATGTGAAGTAACATGAAGGTGGTCTATAGCTCACTGGTCTGAAAAAAAAAATAGGCATGAACGATCAGAGAGTGACAATACCATGCCTTCAAAAAATTGTATATTTTAGGGCACAAAAAATACGCACAATTAGAAAATGTTTAAGCTTCCGCCTAAAAATTTTACTTACATGTTTTACATATTCTTTTATTACTTCTACAACAAAATATTTTCCACGACTCTTTTAATAACTCTCCTGCGCCTGAAATTGAGATCATCGAAACATTCGATTGCTTATCCTAACATTTTGGGTGGCAAAATGTGATTACTATGCTGAAAGGAAAAAGAAACGCATACTGAAATGTAAAAGGTTGTATACCATTTTTGTCTGTGCAACACAATGGTAGCCAAATGGAATTATATGTAATATATAACTCATAAATGCCATATATCAAGGCATGATATCACTTCAGACGACATTTAGACATCACACTTATTGACTATAGGGAGTGGAGGCTGAATTTTAAAATTAAAAATTTCGAAGTTAACATTACTTGTGTCCTCTTCCCCCATTAACTGCAACTCGTATTCTCTTGCGCATGGAATTGATCAGGTGGTTATTTCTTCTAATAGGTATGTTATTCCACTTTTCTGGAAGTGCTTGCCTCAATTCATTGGTGGTGTTTGGAATCGGATTTCGATTTCGAATTCGTCGGTCCATCTTGTCCCATAAATGCTCAATTGGAGACAAGTCGGGGCTGTTTGGAGGTCACTCTAGTGTCCTTCCGCTGTTTGTCGCAATGAAATCAGTCTAGCAACGAGCGACCTAGCATTGTCTTGCTGAAACATCAGATTATGTTGGCTCACAAACGGAAAAACATGTGCCTGTAAAATGCTGTCATGGTATTGTAATGCTGATTATTACCAATAGTTTTTTGTGCCCATAGGCAAATCCGCCCTAAGTATGACAGAATCGCCCCCGACCCGTCATGTTCTGTTACGCATGCGTTGGCATACAGTTAGCATCTATGTCGATATACTCTTTTCCTCCCGCCTGCTTGAAAAAGAGTAAGTTAAAAATATGCGTTCTTTTCTTTCAGTATATTTGACCTTTCAATGTCAAACTTGCTTAACAGGTGGAGTTGACCTGAAAATTCAACTGAGGGCCAAAATAAATATTTGAATTTAATATACAATTCATGTATATGTATAATCAATCAGGAGTAATTCATGAGTGTCCTTGTTCATAATTATTTCATACTTTGATCACGCAAGAGTAATTCATGAGAGCCCTTGATATAATCATTTCACACTGTATCATCTGATCGATAGTTTTTTATTAGAATTGTACTTTCATGGATTCACCTTCATTACCTCTAGATAAAAAATATTGAAAGGAAATTCCTATTTCATCCGTACTTTCCCCCAAATATAGCAAATGTTATAACATAATTACATTTGAGTTTATGGAGTGTCCTAAGGCAAGAAAGACTCAGCTATAATTTTTAGGTCGAACTGGAAAAATGTTCGGCTGATGACAATTTTCTCTCTCATCAGGAAATGGTACACTCTCATGCACTAACCATGTGTAAAAACGAGGACTGATCATTTTAAAAAGCATTTCTTAAATATAAAATGAGGTTTTTAAATATATATTTAAAGCTGACAAGATATTTATATAATAATTATATCCTTTACTTTTCTCAATGTAGAATTTTTCGGGTTGGTGGAGATATTAGCTCCCAGGGTGCATGGTCTTTTGCAGAAGTAAGTTTTGGTAGAAAACATAATTTATAGAAAAAAAAGACTTCGATACCAAATAAAAACATAGGTAATCAAAGATTACAGAGCTCACCTCAACGAATGTTATCTTTAAGTAAGGCAAAGTCCCACACTAAACTAATAATCCAGATGCAACATTTATGCAATTTTGATTTGATAGGGCTTGCAGTTACTTGGGAATGGACTTGTTCTAAAAACTTTGTACTAGTCACTCATCCAGAAAAATTAAGTAAAATCCAGCATCTGGAGCAAGTCTTAGAGTGTTCATCCCTTAAAGCATCATCCATGCAAGTTTGTTCTAGGTAGGGCTTGAAGTTACACTGGAATGAGTCTGCTCCAAAAACTTTAACCTAGTCACTCATTTTGGAAAATGTGGGTTAAGTCTAGCATCTGAAGCAACTCTGGTAGTGTGCATTCGTTGATGCATCATTCATGCAATTTTAGTTTAGGTACCGGTAGGCCGTACAGTTTCTTTGTAATTTACCTGCACCAAAAACTTTAACCTGGTCACTCATCTGGAAAATGTAGGTCAAACCCGCATCCAAAGCAACTGGTAGTATGCATCAATAATGTATCTTCAATTCAAAGTTGGTTAGCATACGGCTTATAGTCATTTTAGAAGGAACCTGCTCCAAAAAATCCAATCTGGTCGTTCATCCAGAAAATATAGGTCAAATCCAGCATCCGAAGCAAATCCATGGATTTATCATTTCTTGCAACTTTGGACAATATCGAAGCAATTCCATAGATTTATCAGATCATTTCTAGCAAATTTTATCAACATAGGGCTTGCAGTTACTTTTGAATGAATCTGCTCCAAAACTTTTAGCCTGGTCACTCATCCGGAAAAATGAGGTCAGATCCAGCATCCAAAGTAAGTCTGGTAGTGTGCATCCTTATAATATATATCATCCATGCAAGTTTGGTTAACTTAGGGCTTGCAGTTACTCTAGAAGGAACCTGCTCCAAAACCTTTAGCCTAGTCACTCATCCGGAAACTAGGTCAGATCCAGCATCCGAAGCAAGCCTGGTAGTGTGCATCCTTAGATATATCACCCATGCAAGTTTGGTCAATATAGGCTTATAGTTACTTGGAAATGAGACCTGCTCCAAAAACTATAACCTGCTCCAAAAACATTAACGTGGTCATTCTTTCGCTGAAATTGTAGCATCTGAAACCTTGACTGGTACAATGAAACATACTAGAACCATCGTCCATGCATCTCTGATTAATATAGGACATAGAAGTACTTGAAAAGAAACCTGCTCCAAAAACTTCAACTTAGGACGTCGATGCTGACACCGAGGGTATTACATACCTCCCCCCCCCCCCCCCCCCTTACTGCGATGAGGTGAGCTAAAAACGACAATGGAAATACTAAGTACATGTATATGAAAATTTTGACAGTGTATTTCATACGTTTGGCTAGTGTATGTACATATTCGAAATAGAATTAATTTACAGTGTTGTATAGAACCAATGTTACAGGTAAACTGTGTTATTTTCATGTATGACATTTTGGACGGGGGAGTGGGATTTTGTTTTTTACGATGGTACATGTATATAAACAAATAGATTTATTATCAGATCGCTAATCATTGAAAAATAGAATTCAATTTACAGTACACAAAACTCTACTGTAGAGACAAAACAGTTAGGCATGCAATGTTGACATTTTTTTTCGATTGAATAAAAGATGCAAGAGATTTCTGACTGTTAAAGTTTAATCGTGTACAAAAACGTAACAGTGAAAACATATATATAAATAACAAATTAATAAATTACATATTATGGGTTGAGTAGCAATATTCATAACACTGTTAACAAAGAAAGATACATACAATCGGTGAAATTTGAAATATAATGCATTAGACTAGTATGCTTGCACAAGATAATAAACCATTTATCAAAATAAAATTTGCAGAGATTTTAGAACCTAAGGGAATCACCATTTCATTATGCAAAAATAAAATCCCCAACCAAATATTAATCACATGTGCCATAATCTTTGTTAAGTTATTGACAAAGACTAAGGATGAACGACCTCTGCTACAAAGTTTTCCTATAATAATGGTATTTTCCGAAAAGTAAAAGAAGATAGAAATTGAAATGAAATTTAATCAAACAGTATATTATAAAGTGCAATATTTGATACAAATTATTGTTGATGAAAATTTTATAAAGAAAACAATGAGTCTTTTTTTTTTTTTTTTTTTTTTTTTTTAAGAATTATCTCTCTTCGCAGAGGGTCATTCCTCCTTAAATAATACCTGCAAGATATCGCAATCATCTTTGTGAAATATTATGAATACCTAACAGTGCGATATCAAGAATACCTTGTTACAATGAAATATCAAGAATATCGTACGGTGTGATATTAAGAATTTCTCATGGTGTGTTATCAAAAAATGCTCATGTGAGATATTATGAATATCTTACAGTGGAATATCATGAATATCTTACAGTGAGATATCATGAACATCTCACATTGAGAAATCATGAATATCTTAAGGTGAGACATCATGAATATCTTACAATGAGATACATATGTCATGCATATCTTACAGCGAGATATCATGAATGTCATACAGTGAGATATCATGAATATCTTAAATCGAGACATCATGAATATCTTACAGTGAGATAACATGATTATTACGAGGAGAACATTTTTCATGTAGAATATATGTAATTACATTTCATGATTTTTTTTCCCATTGTATATGACTTTCTCAATGAGGTGTGACGAAATATAATGTGTAGTGGTCAATGCTTAACGAATAAAAAATACGTGGAAATTGAAAAATGTGATATTTTAAGGTTAACCGTAAAAATAATGCCTGGAGAAATAGTGAAAGAAGGTTCCTGTGAAGGAAAATTTGAAAATCCTCTTGCAAAATTCGCGAATCAAAGAAGATGTACAAATGATACTGAGGCCAATGGAGTGCATGTTCAAGAAGGAAATTCCAACCATACACATTTTTTGTGTCCGACATAAATTAATCGTAGTAATTATTGAGCAGAGTACATTCGGTTTGTAGTTGAAAATACAATCAGTGTATATACGTAATACATATGTTGCTGGAAAGCGTGGTATAGATTTACTATATAGGTAATACAGTCACTGTGGTTCTTAAATCAGAAAAGACTGATTAGTACTTTTCCGTGTGAAATATTGATTTAATGAGACACATCTCCGGCAACTGGACTACCCGAGTCTCCTCAAAAAGAAATTTAGCTCGATAGAAAATTAGCGCATGCGAGTTAAATTTGGTAAAGAGTTTATTAATCAAGTGATATATATTTAATTCACGTATCTGGAGACTTAGTTGGAAAAGTTTGACTTATATACATTACAGGTAATTCGTCAAACGGGTTAACTTGCCTAGAATGGGTAGTCCAACTGAAGCAGGCAGAGATGATACCCAAATGAGTGTAGATCATGTATATCCTTTCTGTATATTTCGATATTTTAAAAATCAAATATTTTGATTCCATTTTGTAAGGTATCTTCTTTTCTAATTCCTGTTTCCTTGTAGAATTGGCAATTGATTGCCAAGAACGCACCCTCGTTCCAACCTTGTACAGGTGATGTGACATCCACCATAAGCTGGAAGCAACGATTCCCAAATTCCTGAAGTGATGTCATACTGACTGTTCTCGTCTGTCGCCTTGGCGAGACTTGAAACATAGTCGACAAATTTTGGCCTTGGCGGACTCTCTAACTAGGTCATCCAGACTCATACAAAAAGCGGCGGCTAAAAAGAAGAAGGCACTCCCCCAACCTAGCCCGTAACCCGGGCCGTACTGGTGAGATGAGGACGAATCGTTGGATTCCATGGCAACCGGGTAAATGATTAAGGCGGCACCTGTACTTATCGCTGAAAAATTTTTAAAAAGCATATATAAACGAGAAGTTTATGAAAAATATTATGATATACTCCTTAAAATAGCTTCTTTTTTGTTATTGTAAAACTTCGGTTCTTTTTAAAGTTTTTTCACTAGAAATTCAGAGTTTACTTTTAAGTTACATAGATAGGATTTTATCTATAAAACAAATAAAATGATAAAAGAATGTAAACATGTATATGTAAACATATCATTCATTTTTTATGTACTATTTTGGGGGGAGTGAGCTTGACATGCTAATATGTAATTTTATCACTAAAGGTGAAGTGTTCATTTCCAGAGATCCATACTCTGTTATTTGCTTCAATAAACTGTTATAAAATAATTAAATTTTACGGGATATAACTGCAAATTTTCATACTTCATAAAGTTTTAAAAGAATTCAAGACTGTGAACATCTAAGAAAAACTACTGACGAAAATGTTTAGGATTACATTGAATTTTGAGATTAATAGTATGGTATGCCTCATTTTCAACTCCAGTAGTATTTTTTTTTGTAATTGTTTAATCTTTTTTCGACAGTTTTCTCCATTTCCATCTTACATATATGTATGTGCGAAAATAAAATACATTTTGACCGTATTTAGATTCACTACTCCAGAAAACCACCAACAGTTAATAACCAAGAAAGTGTAGGAAAAAGAAAAATCAAAATAAAAGAAATCCTTACCACAGACTAAAAATATTTCTCCCGATGAATGGAAGTAATAAATCTTTTTGGGCAGTGGTGATGTACAAACTCCACAAACGGCTAAAATGGAAGCGATAAATCCGAAGGAAGCTGAGAAAATCATCAAACCGATCACGGCATTCTGCCAACCTACAATTAACAACGTAAGAAAATATAATACAGTCAAATCTTATTATCTCGAACTCTATGGGACCAAGGAAAAAACTTCGACATATCCAGGCATTCAAGATACTGAGGTTAAAATACACAAAAAAACTGTAGCTAGGACTTCCAACTGACTTCGAGATATCCGTGTTCGAGATATCGAAGTTCAACTGTATCTTTCCATTTTAGAGCGTAGATGAAATAATAATAGTAGACATATGCAATATATAGTATATCAAAAATACTTGGAAATCATAGCTTGGTGTCGTAGGGTGTTTTGTCTGTGGAAGGGTTTAGCATTTTATGGTAAAGGAAATAGTTTCTGTATATGAATTGCTTCTATAGAGAGATAATGAAGACTTCGTATTTATGAATTTTTTATTAGTCGTACGTTGGACCGTGCTGTCTATGCAAATCGGGCTCACACTGGCGTTGGTCATTTGAAAGCACTTGTTCCACATTCCGTTACGGAAACCTGAAAATAAAAAAAAATTATGTCATTTGTCCTCATATTGATTTTATGTTAGGTATATGTAAATTTAAAAAAAATCTCTACTGCACAAGACAATACTATGAATTTGCTTTGTGTTCAATGATACAATTCAGTCGTCGTATCATAATCAATATACCAATATCTGTCTGTGGAAATTCCGAAATGTTTTATGAATTATATACTATTATAGTATTACTATTAATAGTGCAAAGATTCGATTAACTACGATTAGTCACTATCGTTCAAATGATTTTTTTTTTTGGTCTTCTACAGCAGTTAATTACTCATTCAATTTTTTGAAATACATTTATTTAATAAATACATTATTTTAATACACAGTAACGGAAGAATTCATGTTATATCTTTTATGAAAGCTATATCTAAACTGATAACTGTCAATAAATATCTCGTAAGCTTCAACCTTTAATTAAATACTGGACAGAGATTAATCATTAACTTATAAATATTCCATTGACAAACGATCAAATAATGATTCGATATATGTTTTCCCACTGTACAAGTTACGGCTTTCTGCCACGAAATAAACATCGCTGGGCGTCAGATCGTGATTACGATTCGAGATTGATTAGATTTTAGCCAAATCAATATCACACTCGCAACCTGAAACCTACAACGGAGGAGAAAAAAAATCGATGACGCAAGCAGCCACAATCATGATCAGAACTGCAGTGTTGTTTTTTTCTCCTCTTCAAAAGGTATTGCAGTTCTTGCTTAAATAATTTGAGACAATAAATAAAAAAAGAAATTAAATGATTATGATTAACTGGACGATAAAATGACCTCTGCTATCGAATTTTACTTTCAACTCGTAAACTTGAAAAATAATAATAATAATAAAAAACCTTAGGACAAGGATTTTCTGTAATATCAAAAACAGGCTTGTAAAAAGGTTCAGTACAGGAACTCTACGATTACTTGGGACACATTTACAACTCCCGTTTTTAAGCGTTTATAGATTTAAATAAGACGACCACTTCAATCGTAAATATGAAACTATTGTATAAATAAAGTTCCACATTGTCTTTAAAAAATAACATTCCAAAGATACACAAGATACATACAATTTATGAAGTGCAACCGACCGAGATCAGACTTAACCGAAGCGTTGAAATCATTAATAAACTGCGATGTATATTGTATTTCCACTGCATTGCTGCAGCCTTGTATTGATTTTACTACACACCATATTGTTTGATTTTTTTTTTTTAAATTGCATAGAACTACATACATTTTCTCCTCACGCTTCGTGTTTTTATTTTGTAGTTTTTGCAAACACCCTGTAGGGCATTATTATTTACTTTAGAATTTAAAGTACATGCATCGCGGCTATTTGGTTGAATGGAATATATATATTCTTTTTGGAATAAAGCTTTTTAAAATCATTTTTAAAAACATGATTAGAAACGACACAAATTAACCTTGTTCGTATTTTTTTTATGGAAGCAATGCATGTATGTATCACTCCTGTATGTGTATACATGTAAGTATTGGATCGTGTTATGAAAAGCTACATTCATTATAGAATATCATTTACATAGATATAAATAACACAATCTAATGAACACCAATTACTTACTGAATATTAACAATATAACGTATCAGTAGAAGTATAGGTGTGAACTTACCCTCTCCGTACACCCAGTTGTCGTTCAGTATGGAGGCTAGGACTAGAGGAAGGGCTATGGCGATAGAGAAAACACCACAGATCCGGAAGGGTCGCCATATCTTGGCCTCTCTCAGGTAGTACTCCTCCCCAAACTTCCGGACGTCAGGACTTTCCCCCGTCTTAAACTTAAGGAAATTTTTCATGGCGGTGACCATTCAGATAACGTTGTGTTGATTTTTTTTTACATTCAAACTACGTTTAAATGTTCGGACACATAACTCTTCTTTTGAAAAGAAAATTTGTTAAAGATCCCTTTTGTCGTATTTCTTAATACTGTCACCCTCTACTGAACAGCAAGGACAACAGCACACAGTACACAGCCTTCACATTTCAATAAACATATCCACTTCCATAAAGTTTGTCTTGCGGTTAAACCTTTTCAAATTGCGCCGATTTAAAAAAAAAAGTTTTTGAAAATGCAGTACTTTTGAAAACAAATGAAACACACCAGGGAACACAATCAAATGCTGATGTCATTAATTATTTACTCAATAGCTTGCGGGATATGGCGACCAATGTTGGAGATTGTTAATTTTGAATTTATTATGTGAGCTTCAGGCGGAGACGCCATTCAGGTTGCCTAGAAACGCCATTGTCTCCGGTTACAGCGGTGAAGAAAGGGAGGAATATTTTTTTCTCATGTACCGTACAAGGTGACACCGTGTCGCTCGATAAATGCCAACTCCGAATGCATCATTTTCCAGTGGGATCCCACAGGAGCGATACACTTTAGACATCACTGCGCCATCTTTGCATTCAGCAACGGAACTTTGTGAAAGAGTCATTAGTTCTGGGGAAAAAAATCAAATCCTAATAGAGAGCAATCGATTTTTCGTTCCCTTGGATGGATTGAGAATTTCTTTCCATCCCTTTGCGTGCTGTGTGGTATTACGTCTCACAGCTGATTACACATATCAATGCAGCAGCTACCGATTCTGATGTGACCTTGGATAATTTCGGTGATAATGACGTAAATAAACTTATTCATGTTTTACAGCTTTTAATGGTCCCAAAATTCTATGTAGTAACTGACCGTACAACATACTAAGCGTTTCAGCACCAATTTCAATATTATTAATACACTTTCCTAATTATTTAAGTCAGTAATTCAGTACATAATGTAGCACTGGTAAACCTTTTCGAATATCCTTGTTCAACGCCAAGTTTTGAAAAGACTCGCACAACATTTTTAAAATATTCGAAATTCTTTGTTCAGAACAAGAAACGTAATGATGTATTCTCTATACGTTTTTGCTTGTCGGTTTATCGAATAAAGTATCATATCGGCATCCAAGAATTACCTGGGTTGATTATATTAATTTATTTATGAAAAAGCTGAATGTAGAAAAGAAATGTCCAAGTATTAACGTCAATAAATTATGTAGCTTTCTTGACTACTTGAGGTACATACGGAAGTCCATTTAGAACCTATCAAAAATATTTTTTGAATTTGATATAACGAATTGTCAAAATTGATATAACGAATTAAATTCGTTATATCAATTTCTTTCAATTCGTTATAACAAATTAAATTTGTTATTAACAAATTTCTTGAATTCGTTATAACGAATTATATAACGAATTCAAAAAATTGTTATAACGAATGAAACTCGTTTTAACGAATTATAGAACTTGTTATTACGAATTAATTTTTAACAAATTCAACAATTCGTTATATCGAATTCATATATATTTTACTATAGACCCTAATTGTTGAATTGATTAAACGAATATAATTCGTTATAGCAAAATTTTAGAATTTGCTTAAACGAATTTAATTTGTTATAAAAAGAAATTTAGAATTCGTTTGAACGAATTTTATCTGTTGTAACAAATTTTTGAATTTGTTACAATTTGTAACAAATTTGTTATAACAAATTGAATTCGTTATAACGAATTCATAAAATTGTTATAATGAATTTAATTAGTAATAACAAATTCGACAATTCGTTATATCGAATTCTAAAATATTTTTAATACCGGTAGGTCCTAAATGGGCTTCCGTAGGTACAAGACTACCATTCTTCTGGCATAATTATTCCCAGATTGTTCAATAGGCACCGTTCCTCGGTACCCCAAGTAGTCAGACTAACTAAATATGTTTTCGATTCCTCCATATAACATTTATACTGTCACAAGCTCATTTTCTTTGAAAATGGGAAAATTTAGCCTGTAATGTACATGCATATGGATGTATGATTGTATGCAAGTACACATATGATATGTGTGACTATATGTGTATGCGTCTGTATATGAATGTGTATGTATGTTTGTATACTCCTGATATATTTTATAGATATCAATCCTTTTATAATAATTTTAATAGCAGTGTGGTTTTCCTTATTGCATGCGATACTTATAATTCATTGTGTCAATCAAATAATTTGTCAAGTTGAGAGTGTTTGCAATGTGAAGATCCGGACAGTAATTCTTTAATTAATGCAACTGTTATTTGTTGTAATCATGATTATATTTATGCTAAAAGGAAAAAGAAACGCATAATTTTGATTGATCTACTACAATAACGTATAATCATGATTAAAATAGATATGAATTTATCTGGGCTTTAATCAATGTCTAGAAATGGATATGCGATAGAAAATCACTCAATCATGACTCTGGCGTGCTCGAAGTGAGCACGAGTAGTTTGCATATGAGCATCGGGTTGAAGGTTGAAGGGTTGAAGCTTCGGCTTCCGGTTCATGTAGCTGGAATTTTGGATAAGTTGAACCATTTTTGCAATCTCCAGTGATTTTTTGGAAATTGTCCGGTGATAATTTGAACAGATTTTGACCCTAAAAGATATCATGCCTTACTGAAATTCTAAGAGGCCTTACTTATGCAATGAAATCATCTGAATGATTTAATGTGTCCCAATCCACTGTATCGCGGCTAGAACGACCTCTCATGTTAGCAGGAAGAGTAAAACAGTGTTAAAGACCGTCCAAGATGTGGAAATTCTCATAGGGCAACGGGACTTGCGGACAAAGAGATCTGTTTAATCAGCAAACGGAACAGGTTTCAAACTGCAAATGAAACTGCTATTTACGTTCCTGGACGCTGCAGTGCCAGAATTAGAGAAAAAACGATACGCAATAGTGCCATTGAGGCAGGCCTCAAAGCACGCAGGCCATCCTTTTACAACATCGTTCCACATAAAAAGAACGAACGCAGCTAGGGTATGCTGAAATTTCAATGTGACCAACAACGAACGGACATGAATGGTCACCATTTAGTCCCGAATTGTCTCCAGCTGAGCAATTATGAGAGGAAATGTATCAATTCCATTTGAATTCCATATCCGACAACTCCAGCAACGAACTGAGCCAATCACTTGTAGAGGAGTGAAATCTTATCCCTATTCGAAGAATCAAGCATCTGATCAATTTTGTGCTCAATATCATACCAGCTGCTGTAAATGCAGGATGAGGACACATGCGATATTGACTTTTGAAATTTCTGAACCTTACTACCTATAGTCAATAATTTATGGTTCAATAATGACAATTAGGAATGGAATACACATGTACTGCGTAAAATTGTACATGTATTTGGCTTCATTGTATCGCAAGGTAATAAATGCTAACTTTTTATATTCAGGTATGCGTTTCTTTTTCCTTTCAGTATACTTCAAATGTATGCATACCCCTTAGGTAAACGTGAAGGAGATTCAGAAAACTGTTCAAATGTGCAAGGTTAGTGAAATGGCATTACCAATGAGAAAAGGAATACGGACTTGTCAGTCCTGTAGATATGTTGAGTAAATGACGATTTTCATCACGTCTAATGATCGATATCTTACAATTCAAAATACTTTATTGCATTAAATTTTCATTTCCTCCAGTTTTAATCATTATATAGATCGTGACATTATCTACAATGTGTGCTCATACTGTATAATTGATCCTTCCATTCTCATCAGTGAGTACATGTATTACAAACACAGCAGAAAAAGTGAGTTATCTTTCTTTTGCTTATATTGAGTTGCGGGCCCATATATTGCAGATTTGGTGAAGGCAAAAGATAGCAAAGGTCATGCAATAATAAACGAAATTGAACAGGAACTCAATTTTCTCATGTATTTTCACATTTTTCTTTTTCCTAAATTTAAATGTCACTTCCATCTCGACCAGTTTGTAATGGTGCGCTACTAATACAGGTACATTAAAAAAAAAGAAAGAAAAAAACCTACTTTTTGTTTTTCTGTTATAATGACTCAGACTGCCATCACTTTTTTTTGTTTTCGCACAAGCCAACAAGTGTCAGTGAGAAAGGGGAAAGATATGGGTACGATAAACAAAGTGAGAACTAGAGGAGCACATCGTCAAAGTGTAATTCTTTCTTTGTTTGCAACATCGTATTGTCACAATGTAATTCTCTCCGTGACAGTACGATGTGGCAAAGAGGGAATTACATTGTGACAGTACGATGTTGCAAACAAAGAGAGAATTACATTGTGACAGTACGATGTTGCAAACAAAGAGAAAATTACACTGTGACAGTACGATGTGACAAAGAGAGAATTACATTGTGACAATACGATGTTGCAAACAAAGAGAGAATTACACTGTGACAGTACGATGTTGCAAACAAAGAGAGAATTACATTGTGACAATACGATGTTGCAAACAAAGAGAGAATTACATTGTGACAGTACGATGTTGCAAACAAAGAGAAAATTACACTGTGACAGTACGATGTGACAAAGAGAGAATTACATTGTGACAATACGATGTTGCAAACAAAGAGAGAATTACACTGTGACAGTACGATGTTGCAAACAAAGAGAAAATTACATTGTGACAATACGATGTTGCAAACAAAGAGAGAATTACATTGTGACAGTAAGATGTTGCAAACAAAGGAGAATTACACTGTGACAGTACGATGTGGCAAATAGAGAATTACACTCTGACAGTACGATGTGACAAACAAAGAGAGAATTACATTGTGACAGTACGACGTGACAAACAGAGAATTACACTGTGACAGTAGGATGTGGCAAACAAAGAGAGAATTACACTTTGACAGTAGGATGTGACAAACAAAGAGAGAATTACACTGTGACAGTAGGATGTGGCAAAGAGAGAATTACACTGTGACAGTACGATGTGATAAACAGAGAGAAAATTACACTGTGACAGTACGAGGTGACAAAGAGAGAATTACACTGTGACAGTACGATGTGACAAACAGAGAATTACACTGTGACAATAGGATGTGACAAAGAGAGAATTACACTGTGACAGTAGGATCTGGCAAACAAAGAGAGAATTACACTGTGACAGTACGATGTGGCAAACAAAGAGAGAATTACATTGTGACAGTACGATGTGACAGAGAATTACACTGTGACAGTACGATGTGGCAAACAAAGAGAGAACTACACTGTGACAGGACGATGTGGCAAACAAAGAGGAACTTAGAGGAGCACAGTACTGTGTGGCTAACACAGAAAATTACAGGAGCACAGTACGATGATGAAAAAAGCAAGAAGAATGTAACATTAATTTTCAGTTCAATGTTGGACAGATTGACTGAAGGAAGACATTTTAAGGCAAAGTGCCATCAATTTGTCACTGCTTCCCATTATTTTTGTAACAGAGAAAACCAGGCGTTCTATAAGTGCATGAAAAAGATAGATGCTATACCGACTAACCATAGGGCGACAGGCCGTTATACGTATCAAATTACAGGTAACCTGACAAAAATATTCACACTTTTACATTGTACATCAACTGTTGATCCTAAAGTTTGGATTCCATAAAATACCCAAAGTGCTCGTAAGAGGAGGTATCTGTAATTTTTGCCAGTTTTTACTTTGCCAAACAGAAATCTGCAATATAACTACAG